TTAGGTCAAGACTCCTTTTTTAGTCCAGTGCTGGATAGTTGACTCTTTGCATGGGTGGTGTTAGAGGAGAATTGTACTGCACTGGTTCATCTGTTCATTCTGTAAATTATGTTTCCATCACATGGAGGTCACAGTACAGATTCTTTTGTTATCAAGTTACTTGACTTGCTCAGGGGATACAATTGCACTGAGATGCAGTCAGCTGAGCAAGAAAGCAGTTTCAGGTGCTTGATTGTCAGTGTATTCAAGCGGTAAATTGTCTTAAGAAAGCTTGTCCAGACTAAAGAAGTTAAAAATGAACGTGCAGTTCACACATAGGTCTGTAAATACATGTGATCTGTTGCACTACGACTGACAAACAAATCACTGCTTTATAGCAGCAAAAACTGTGTTATGTAATGTGTTATATTAATCACTCAAAAGGAAGGTTTAAAGGCAATCGAAATTTGCTCCCATTTCTGATCAAGAATACATTATTGTTATGGAAATATTTTTTCCCATTTCCATATTTCAATGTGAGACTGCTATTTTCAGATAAAGTTTGGACAGCATTTAAAAAGAATATTTCTTGGCTTTTTTACTTTAATAGAAAGATAGGAAAGGAGGGAAGAGAGAGGGGATGCCATGCAGCAAAGGGCCCCCAGGCTGGAGGTGTGCTACTGGGGAAACCCCAGAAAAAATTTTGAGGTGTGAAAAATGCCTGCTTAGTGTTCATGCAAGGCCGAAATCGAGAGGAAAATATGTGTTTGTGAATTAAGCTGACTTATACTGTGCACTTGTCCAGGACATTTCCATGACAAAGCTCAGCATGGGATCTTTAGGATGGGAATGCAGTGAAATGAAAAGAAAGAATGCAACTCGTATTTGCGTCTCTTGCGATCTTTTCAATCCAACCTTAGACTAAAACAAACTGATATATAACTAAAAAAGTCTAAAGGTGTACACAGTTGAACCATATGTCCTTTGTAACTTTCAGACACAGTGAGGAAAAAACTGTGCTCATATTAGGGCTTGGATATGCCAGTCTCAATTTGAATTCAGCTCCACACGGGTAATCAGTTATGGCAGTGCATGTACAGTCAACACAGTCAACGATTTCCTACAATAACCTGTTTTCTATTCAGCACGTCATTTGTCATTTCCAGCTGATCGGCTTTGTGAAGGGTCTCTATACCTACAACACTGGTTGCCTGAGACCTAAGTTTATGATTTATTGTTTGTCATATTCTCTGTTGCTTCATTTAAGGTTTGAAATTTCAAAAGAACACACCTCCTGGCCAGTACCATACATCATAATTACTATGCAAAGTCATGCTCCCAAGAGGAAGGAACCTGTTGGAAATGGAGAGCCCTTGATTTTTCCTCCACCACCATCGTCAGAACAAGCTTTGACTCCTTTTATAAAACAATTCTATCATCCACAATGTATAATATTGACTGTAACAGTAACAGCTGACAGGGCGGTGCACCTTTGCTGCAGGAGGAAGCCAGCATTAGAGTAATTAGATATTGTCCACTTCTAACAGCTTATCCAGTGATGCTAAGTGGCTAAAAACTGCATTTGCTTAATGTGATTTTTTTTCTTTGTCATCATGAAGTGAAACAGCCCGCTGTAAATTATTCAGTGCCATTTGGTTTAATGTGAAATCTGGGTAGACTCCATCCTAGCACACTGCCTCCTTTGAGCTTATTTTTCAGAAACAACAGAAGCTCACTGCAGCAGTGATGTTTGATTTTAGCTTTGATGGTGCAACAGTGTGATGAAATTTCTAATAAATACACTCAGACCCTGAAATGAAATGTAAATGTTGAATGACTGTATCACTGCACATATAGGTTTATTTTTTTTCTTACAGTCACAAGACCCCAGGAAAGTTCGAGTCCTGGGGCTTCAGCCCCTTAAGATCTTTGAATAATACAGCAGGAGCTCAGATCCCTCTCATTAAGGAAAACCTTTATGGATTTCTCAATCTTTTGAAAATCATTGCCCGTCAGCTGATTCCTTTAGCTGAAAATTCCCACATAATTCTGATGAACAGCAGACGGCTTAATTATGCAATCCTCCAGAGAACCCTGGCAGGGTCTATCAAAGCAACGACACATATCATTTTATTTTTATAGCCAATAAAGAAATATGAATGAAACAAGCATGTAAATAAGGAAATACATAGTCACTAAATAAATACAAATGCATTCTTTTAATCATAGTGCTCTCTGCAGTCTTAGTACTGTACACAGTCTCCAGTGTATTGTTAAATTCTGTTGAAATATCACACTTTTCTCCTCAGAGATAAAGATACCTCAATTTTCCGAACTAGTTGGATTCCCTCGTCAAAAAAAGAAATTAAAGGTGTTTTTTTTCTTTTTTAGAGAAAAAGAAGCTTTGATGCACGTACAGCCCCATCTGGGATGAGCTCTTGCATCTACGAATAAAGCAGTTCTATTCCTGTTTGTTAAACTAGGCTGTAAAAAACACAAATTACTTCTGATAGGTGAATCCCAGCATTTTAGAGACCTTTTAACGAGAAAAATTATATTCATCTCAAAGATGACAAATTAAAACCTGGGAGAGAAGATCTTACTGCAGTCTGCAGTAGACTAAAGCTGACACTGGACGAGCATGGAGTCTTTCTGTCGTGTTTAAACGCAGATGCTTATGGAAGTCAAAATAAATCCAATTTAAACACCCTGTTTTGGAGGATACCAGTATCCTGAAGCTAACAACGCTGTATATGATCTCTTGAATTTCAAAAACAAAATTTAAGAAAAGTACAGCATACAACCGTTTACTTGTCAAAATCCATTTCCTCAACACGTAAACTAATTATATGCAACCTACAGCAGCACAACTACCGTAATGTAAAGAAGTAAAATGAATACACACAGCAATGCAAATCACTGTGCTGTACCAGTCGACAGCACTGATGCGTTGTGAAGGTTGTGTGTGATGATCCAGTCCTAATCATTTGTGATATTTCCTGTAGAATTTTTTCTCACACATAATTTGATATCAGAAATACAACTGATCGCTACCTTCTATAGTGGACCAAAAAAGCCTTACAAGCTTACATGTTGGTTTTTAACTGATATTACCATCTCATAGTCTATTCTGACACTGTTTTTCTGAGTTAATGCTAAATGTGTACCTCCCTAAAAAGGACAAGCATGGCTGTTTAAAAGAGATTGTCTTTGAACAGTCACTTTTAAGAGTTAAAAGATAGTCCCATTAGCCGCAGTGTTTCAGTGCTCTATTCTGCTCTCCAAGACACTGATGAAGGTCAAGCTTAAATGGCTCGAGCTCTCTGTTTGAGCCACAGACTCCCAGCTTAGCCACAGCTCTGGGAACTCGCTCAGACAAAAGATTTACCCCACAATGCTGCTGGCCTAGATAGACCCACCAAACACACAATAGGGTGGCTGTGCATAATTTAGAGCACATCTTTCCTACATTGACAAGTCCAAAATTAAAAGGGAGCTTGTCAGCCAAATTAAGTATTCAAATGTATTATGTCCATGGAGAGCACGGGGAAGTTAAATCAATACTTTCCAACCTGAACGTAATACTCAGACTTGTGATATAATGCCTGGAGCTCCTGCAGAGACAGTGAATATGATGGTGGCCCAGAGCAATGTTTGCTCATTTTGAGGCAAAATATACCAAATACGTCCTCATACTGTAACACAGCTCTTTTTATTGTACAACTGACTTTCTATTCAGCATTGTGATTCCGATTGTTACAGTCCCTCAGTTTTCCCCAAAGTTAAACACAGACATTAGGAGGATATATTCAGAGGTTAGGCATGTTAACTTTGAGATTTCCTTTCTTGTTTCTAAAGTAATTTCCAGTTAAGCAACAACTCATAAGCCATCTTAGCCCTGCAAGGATGTCAAATCCTCACACTTGGTGTCCCGGTTACATCCCTTTTGAACATGCGCTCTTTCAAGTGAAATTAATCAATCTCTTTATCACTTGGGCAGTGTCATTACCCAACCACAGAGTGAGAAATGAAAGTGCTAATCGCACAGCAAGTGGGGCTTTTGTGTGGGAAGGCCAAGTTTTCCTCCTCAAGCTGCTTTGGAAATGCATTTTCAATTGAATTTGCAAAGCGAGTGAGGCATGAATCTTGAGATTACCTCAAATTCCCCTTATAAAGGGGTGAGGTATGACATGAGCTTTCAATACAGTTTTCAAAGATGATTCACTCACAAATATGATAAATGTTTGTATATAAAATATTGCATGGATGCATATAAAGGTGTTTGTAACATAAAAAATGCTACATGCATTTAGTGTGTGCAGTATGCTGCTCATTGAAACTATGTCAACCAGACATCACTGGGGCCTTAAATTTGAACAGAACATGCCAGGACATGATTATTTACTGTGCACCAATGTCTCATTAACGTGTCACGTTACTACAGCATACACATCATTATGGTAACAATCCAAGCCCTGCTTGTCACCACGGGGCTAGGGATGGGTAGACGGTCAGAAAGAAGGTAGAATTTTGCTAACTGCTCAGGCAGAAGGGCCCCCTGGCTTGATGATGTCCAATAGCAGCTCGAGGTTTATGTTCCTAACAATATGCGTCAGAAAGAGGAGGATTACTTTCCCCACAGAACTGGTCACATTGAAAATGAATATAGTTGTACAGTATTTTTCTCCTTTAATGGGAATTAATAATGACTGTCTCACTCTTGTGTGTGTATATAGTATGTATACTGGAGTATGTGTGTGGGCTCACACATGCATATCCAGTATGAACAATAACAGGTTCAAGGAGGTCTGTCTTGTTAAATCCTCACACTTGAATGGTAAGATATATGACACACTGCTATATTGCTACTATATAGCTCAATGTGTGGAATTATAATTGACCATATCCAGTGATTGCGCTCAAGAGATGAAAGAGATTTGACCTGAAGGATTCATTTTGAATAGTCAAAAAGGGGCTTTGATTCACACATTTATAGTGAAGAAGAAGAATAAACAGTTTACCTGCTTTCCATGAGAAATGATGGTCCTTAGGAAACACAATGTCTGACTGGACTGATAAGGAAAATAGAGACAAGAGGAGGAAGAGGCTGAGGTAGTTCCCAGCTCGCCGTGTCCAGGCAATGACCCCAAAGTCATCTTTTAGAGTCATAGTCCAGCCCATTGCTTCCTCTCTTACTCCTGTGGGAAGAACATGAAATTCATCAGTAATTCACTCATAAAAATGGCCTGAGACGTGGGCCGAAGGAACCAGAGCAATAGATTGTGTGTAGCTCTTTAAAAATGGGGAATTTGGAGAAGGTCTCAGACACTCTGAGGCAGCTGTGTAGAAAATGTCCCACTGAAACCTCCAGCCCAGAAACATGACATTCAGTGTCACCTTCCAAAGTGCAAAACGCTCTCTCACACATGAATCATAGTGTTTCATTTTGATAAATCCAGCACACAAGTGTGATACCATGCCCGCTTCTCCTCCCACATGGACCAAAAATAATTAGTCAGAGAGGCTTGAGCGTCTCTGCATCCCAAGGTAGAAGTGGAAACATGTATTGAAGGAAGGGGAGACTTTAAGCTTGGAGTAATACAGGGTATTAGTACCTTTTTATTGCAGCTCATTTATTCCTATCTCCTGCCACTGTGATTCATGCCCTAGGAGTGTTAGGGATTAGTCCTGGATTCACTAGGCCTCTAATTGTGTTGCACCAACAGCAAAATTAATGAATATGGAATTGAATCTGTAACACCTGATGCTTTGAGAGACTGATGTTACTGTGTTCATGACTGTGGTGATTCATTTTCCAAAAACAAATCTTACTGCACTGTAGCACTTGGGTATTGTGAGATTTGTTATTATTGGCTTATCATCCCACAGCGCACTCCCTGCAGTTATTCTGTCGTTCTGCAGTCATGGAACGCAACGTTAAATCTAAAACACTTTTTGATTCATGGTAAAACTTAGAATTGTAACACATAATTTGGCATCAGTTAAATTGCCTGAGTTGTGCAACATCAAAAGTTGTTGCAGAAACAACTGAAAACAAGTTTATGCAAACTGAGAGGTACTCACAAGATATTCACAAGTTGGTATCAGTGATACGCACGTGTCAAGTGGTGCAATTATTGCAAGTTTATCTGAAGATTTGTTTTGGAGATGTAACTGTCATAAGATGGAGGCTTTTTATTGTATTGTTTGAGGGGTTTCACAGGAAAGTCATATTTTTACCTACTGAAATTAATCGTAAAGTGCTTTATGACATAACTACAACAAACAAATGAACAAACTTTTTTTTTTCTATTAACGTTGCAGATCACCACAATACAGTACATTTTGTCTTGATAAATAAGTATCATAGAGAGCATCTGACGGTAGATTAACTACTGAGAGGCAGCATGCATTTGAGAATTAGGATTATTTACACATGGTACGTCTGTGAAAACGGTGGGTGCTAGATTATTTTTGCTTGACTTCATTCAGGGAAATTAGATTTTGACTTTGCTGCTTTAGCTGTGTTTTGGTGGGGGTAAAATTTGTTTAATGAGAAAGAATTGCAGGGTGGAGATGGCTTGGTGCCCAGAAGTGAGCTGCCAGATGCCCAGTTTTTGATGGACTGTCCAATTTTCCTCTAGGTTTGATGTGTTTTTCCATAGTCGACAAAAGTGTGTTCATCTCTTTGTGTCAAAGGCTTATGAACTCAGTGAAAACACAAATTCTGGATTTAGCATTTCAATACACAGCTTTTGTTTGTACCTGTCCTCAACATACAGTACATGCAAAGGTGTGGCGTATCATTTGAAATCTGTCAATCCAAACAAAAGTAATAGAGTTGATTGTTCTCTCTACTTTAAATAACACAACTTTTTCTTATTAAAGCTGCCTTTGTCTCACATGTTTTGATGACCAGAGAATTTATTCTATTTGGATGAATGAGCAGAGTAGTCTGGCACTTACACAGCCATATGCCAATTAGACACCTCTGGTTGCTGATTACTAGCCAACCTCTCGGGCTGCACTGCTCTGGAAGCTATACCTGACTGCACCCAGATTACATCCTCCCTCTAGCCAGTCTAATTTGACTATTCATGGGACAAGCAGCGCTCTCCATAGGCTGACAGAACATGTCACAACTGATTGGAAAACATGGTCTTGAACAAATGAAAAGCAATGAAAACAAGCATGACCCCGAGGCATCCCAGTATTGTTTTTCGAAGACAGGCATTTGAGATTACCATAGTGTTAGATATGGTTTGTAAAATAAGATGACTGGTTGCTCACTTTGAAGAGTTAGTGGCAATTGTTTTCATACAGCCCAGGCTTGGACTGATCCAGTCTGTGCTTGTCAGAAGAGGAGGAATACAGGCTATCCTGAAAATCTTAAAAAAGAAAAGCTCTTAAGCTGCTAAATATCTGGGTCAAAGGAATCATGCCAGGCACTCAGTGGCCACTGAAAACCTGGCAAACAGCAGCGTGGCTCAGAAGCTGCTGTGCATCCTATTAGATACTCCATGATCTGATGGAATGCAATCTGCTTCTCTGTCTCCTGTAGTCCTTGTTCGGGGCTCCCTCACTGGATTCAGAGAGTAAGGACACTGCAGCAACCATAAGGGAACAGATGAGCAACACTCCACAGCCTTCTCTTTCACAGGTGGTCACAATAATTAATGTTTGATTAGATCTTTCCAAATGAGTGGCAAAAGCTAATTTGGTATGCCAAGGCTCTGAACAATCACCATGCGATCTTCCATCCTCTCTTTAAATAAGCCAAACAGCCAGTTCTGTCTGGAATGGAAACAAAGGCATTTGATCCCAGAACGTTTACCAGAGATGCCACCCTCTTGGATTTCCACACAATTATGTAGCCAACCAGTTCATTTTCTCCTCACATTCTTAGCTTAAATTCCTGCCCATGTCCCTGTGCTCTTCTTTGTGTACTGCATCCAGTATTTTCAGGTTAACACAGCTGCAAGTATTTTCTCCTTGTTGTGGTGCATGTAATTGTTTTTAATTGGGTTTGGCAATATAAAAACAGAAATCCATCCTCACCCAAAACAAACAGATTTTTGCAGATGTTTTCATTGGCAGGAATGACCCTGACAGCATTGAAAAAATCTGAAAAGCAGTGCACATCACAGTTTTTTGTATTCCTTTGATCACAGGCTTGTGGGTGCAGCTGCATTCATCTGTCACAGTATGGACTGATATTTGAGAATATTATCCATCTCCATTTTATTCCTGAATTCTTTTGATACAGCGTTATTCTATTCAGGACTGTAACAAAGACGACTTCCCAATTTTGTTGGCTGAACAGATGATGACATCTCTGAAACATACTATGTATTTGCCGTTTCCAGAAAGGTTTATCTTCTTCTGACTTTTCATCATGACTGTACAAAAAATAGGCTGCGCTGATTGAAAAGGAAGAAGCAAGTGTGCCCTACCTGTAGTAAAGGGGAATTGTAAAGGTGAGGAGGTCGGGGTAGTGGATAGGTGTGTAGCTAATTTTCCTTTCATGCAACAAACTAGAGTTCCAGTCCCCTCATAGTCCTGCAATTAACATTTGCCTATTCATAGAATGTAACCACAATCTTTCCCTGACCTTAACAAGGTATTTTAGCTGCCTAACCCTAATCAAATTTTATTATTATTTATTTCTCCTGACCACAATCTTTCTCTAATGTTAATAACTAATGTGTCTTAGCCTTTTGACTGAATGTATATATGTTTTTGTAATTTTTGATTCATTTGATTTTTGTTAGTTTTAGTCAACAAAAACTAAAGTCATATTAGTGTAGTTTTCATCTGTGAAATAATGAGGATAATGTGAGTCCACAACTGCATGCAGCTCATTGAATATTTGCATTAAAACAGTAGGATATGTAGTTAATCAGTCCATTTGTTTGTATTTCACAACAACGTTTACAGTACAGTATCTAACATTTCTGCTGTTTGGTGAAAGGTGACTTTTTATTTCATTTCAGTCTTAGTTACATCGTGAAAAAAGTTTGTAAACCAATTGACAATTAATATTAATAAAATGTAGCTGTAACCTACAATAAAACCAAAATGAAAAAAAGTTTTCTCATAATCAACTCACAATCAGCAAGCACACGCAAGTACACTGTAAGATGCACCGTACCTGAGCAAGATGACTTCCAGTCATCCCTTTAGGTGATCTCGTTGGTGCAGTGGCAGATGCTTTTTACTAGTTCTTCCACAGAGGACAGGAGCAGGGCAAAGGAGGCCTCCAAAGACGTTAAGTCTGACAGGGACGGTAAATCAGCTGCACCAGCCCAGCCGCCTGAAGCATCATGCAGTGGCTTAATCCTGTGTGAATCAATGTGTAGAAGGCTGGGGCTGTGTCACACCTCCAGCAACACTGAGTGGTATTAACTCCCTGGTGCTGGCTCTGTCAAGTACCCACCCACTGATGTTCCTACTGGGGTTGGCACAAGAGTCAGCCTGGGCTATAGGGTCTGAGGGAGAGGCAGACAAAGAGAGAAGAAAAAAAGAGAGACTGATAAAAACAGCTGATACCACAGCAGAGTAAACTCTGACACACGCAATAACATTCTCAAGATTATTTATTTCACATGATGCATTGTTGATATCTATCTTGCATTGCAGAGGTGTGCAAAAGCTACAAACAGCAAAAAAGCAATGAATGACAGTGTGGAGAAGCAGGGAAGATTCATAAAGATGCATGACTTGAAGGCAGCGTCCTTTCCCTTTATACACCATCAGTGGTCCAGAGGTATAACTTTCCTGTGATTTATAATCCATTCATCTGTCTTATTCATTCTACTGTTAATCTTAGTGGAAAGTTCTCAGAGAAAGTTTCTGTGCATAAGGAAAAGGATTATTATATTTCCCACATTTAGACTTGCTGCAGTTACAGAGGGGGAGGGCAATGGCACTTATGCATGGTTTTATCACAGGGTTGGTTGTTGTTTGTGAATTTTACAAGAAACTGCAAGGCTTACAGTGAAGATTTGTCATTGCCTGTGTCACATTCTGACAGCAATATCAAAGACAAGAGTTGCAGCTAGGCTTTTTGCTGTCCTATGACATTCAGTGATTACATGTCAACCCTCCAGCCAAGTCTGTTCTGAGAGCTCATCCACAGGAAACTCTGATTCTATTAACACTTCCTGCCCTTGTCTCCCATC